GTATGGCAGATTACAGGCAATCAAACTTATTCTAGGCAATTATAAAGAAATACACTGCATAAAATATTAAGAGAAATCTCAGAAAAGCCTAAAATTGTGGGTCAGACTGAAAATTTGGGTAGCACCAAACAATTAATTCTCTGGGAACTCTTAATTCTCTGTAGTCATCTCTTCACAGTATTGATGTAAATTGCAATAAACTACGTCCAGTGCACGGTGGGGCGGAATTACTTCTCAAAGCTTAAGAATGTCTTGTTCGCTTTTTAAAAAGTTGATCATTCCAAAAGTGGCCCTTTCGTCTTCCCGTTGAATCCACTCCGTGTTTTACTGTCATCACTGAGCGTCAACACGCCATCAGGCCACTGCAAAGGGCAGCACGGACCACTCATTTAGCAACCAAACCTAAGTATGCGTTGTCCGTCACCCACACACCATGCACAGAGACTCATAAAATCTTCTCTTACTTACATAATATGTACTGGTGGTGGCTAGTGCACCAAACACGTCCTTAAACGTATTTTTTATTTAAATACGACGACATTACAGAGTGGAATCCGGTGGTCGAAGCTTCGTCCCTCCGCATATGACACAGCACATTTCCATTCGCTGCTTTATCTGCAGCGTAATCACCGATTGGTTTAGAGGGCGCAAACACATACGACGTCATGCGGAAGTAGGTGCAAATGCGTGATGTGTCAAAATTTTGACTAAAAAAATTTGACACTTTGGGCCCTTTCACCATCAATTTCTAAAACCAGACACCTTTGCGATGGGGTTAAATTGAATGGTTTGCATGTTAAAACTGTAGAAAGGAGAAGTTCCACCTAACTCTGATAGCGGCTGTTTGAGTCGTGAACGTCAGATGCCGCTGTAGAGGGTAATGTGTTAGCTAGCCGTGCTAGCTTGTAGCCAATTACGTTTCCAGAATTCCCCGAGAGCAAGACATGCATTCAGCGAGGCAGTGACATTGGTAGGTCAAAGTCTTGTTTATAGTAGAGCAGATATACAAAACAAATGTGCACTTACGATTCTAATTTGCACAGAATAAACGAATGTGCGTAAAATTAAACGGTGTGATGCGTTTTCTTGCGCGACCTACATTCGCTTTCTGTTGTTGTGGTTCTAACTACATTATTTTTATCAGTTATGGTTTCGTTGCAAATACAGTATAGATAAAACATTTGCATCATAAACCCGAATGACCCCAATCCCACCCCGTGTTGTGTAGAAAATAGACAGGCTTTGATTGGCGTAACACCAGATTCTGTGACATTGTGAGGACCTCAAACATGCATTCAAAGATTTGAAACCAGGCAAACGTTTAAGTTGCTCCCTGTCGTCTTTACTTTTTGCAACCACTGACCCAAACTAACACAAACTATCCTCCTTGATCATTTTTATAACACCTTTTACATCTAATAGTGTTGTCAACATAGTTGGCTTACTGTTTTTATAGAAATATTTGAGGGCAATTTAAGTAAACAGTGTATGAATACACAAGACTTACCTAGAATTTTAGAATATTTATGTGTTGGCCATGCAATTGAAAATCCTATCTTAGAAATATAAAGGTAAAATCAGAGTATATTTGCTTTAGCAAGAAATCCATCTTTATTTAGGAAATAGATGGGAATTTTTGCTTTCTTTAAAAGGAGTTTTTAATAAAGCTCCCTCAATTTTAAAGTGCATTACCCTGTGCAGAGAAATATACCCTCTTCTGTTTCCAGCAGTTTCTGCTCCAGTTGTAAACATTCTCTCCACTTCCTTTTTATTTTTTTCCCTCTCTTATCAGCAGGCTGGCGGTGAGAACTCACAGGCCCAACCCACACACCTGCCAACCAGCCCGCGTGGCCTTTGCTTACCTGCCTCGCAGGTAGGTTGTCAGCGAGCGGAGGGTGGGCGGGGTCACGCGCGAGGACAGGAGGAATGCCTGTGGAGGGCGGGAGCAGCGGCGGCCCCGCTTCGGCCGCGCGCCACCCCAAGCAGAAGCGCAAGGCTCACAGTTTGTCCATCCGGCGCACAAACAGCACAGAGGAGCGGCCACCGGGCATCCTGAGAGGAGACATGCTGGAGGGACAGGTTAGCACTCGTATCCCTACAGTTGTATGTCTGTCTATCCTATACTAAACAGAATATACTCTTTCCTGTTTGGGAATACGTGTAAATACAGATTTTTAGAGACATTGAGGTTAGACATTGTGGTTCAAAGTACGACTGCTGATTAATTTGAATGAAATATGATGGTCGTTCACCCTGGCCTCAAAGCAAGAGGGTTCCTTGTTCACATCCCCGGGGGACCAGGAGTCTTTCTCTGCGGAATTCTCCCTGTGTCTGCGTGAGTTCCCTCAGGATACTTCGGCTGCCTCCCACTGTCCAAAAATATAAACCAAACATGCAAGTTAGGTTAATTGGACACTCTAAATTGCCCTGAAGAGTGATTGTGTGAATGCGTGTGGTTGTTTGTCTCTGTGTGGCCCTGTGATGGAATGGTGACCAGTCCGGTGTGCGCCTCTCACCCGTTGTCATAGGCTCCAGCCCACCCCCTCCCTTCCCATGACCCCTCTGGTAATAAAAAATGGATGGATGGATGATGGTCAATCTGCTATGAACCTCTTTTGTCAGCCATAACAGCACAGAGCCAGCCGGTTCGACAGCATTGCTCTAATTTTCTGCCTGGTTATGCAACATCCAGCACTCTTTTCAGCAATCTGTTTATGAGATGGAGTTTCAGCCCCCCCCCCTAGAGACTTAGCTGTGTTTTTTCTATGTTCCTGAGGGATCTCAGTCGGGAAGACAGTGGTACTAGCTGAAGTATCGGTCTGTGTTCTCTCTCATTTAGATGGGGACATTCACTCGGGTTAACCTTTGATTGAAAATAAAGGAATTCTCACATCCCTCTGCCGCCACAGAGTTGGTGATTAACTTGCACTAAACTAGGTTATCTGTGTTCCGGCTACAATCGATTTACAGATTTCCATACTGGGAGGACTGTGAGCTTATTCTTTTTACGGTGACTTTGTGCTTCCCGGCTGCTGAGATAATAAAGAGCGTCTCTGTTTGATCAGGAGCCGTTGACTTTTGGGGAGTTGGCTGCAGGGTGAGCCTGTTTCGAGCCATCTTACAACTCAGATAAGAGGCTCGTGAGTGTTTTAGATGGTATCTTCCTGTTTATTCTGCTGGCAAGAGATCATAACCGGTGTGCAAAGATTGACGGTGGTTATCTGCCACGCTGCATTGTTATCGTTTTCATTGAGGACAGAAATATGTTTCTTTCGCTTCTACTCTCTCTGCTCGACCTTGAACGATCACGCACTAAAACGCGGAGCTCAACTTGCACCAACGGGTCGTCTCATCAAGTTTTAATGTGGGCTGCTTGTCCAGGTCTGATTAGTCTTTTCAACAGTCCTTTTCGTCCATCGCCAACACACGCCGGCTCTGTTTATGTAGTGCGTCTAAACCCCTCCCCGGAGCCCGAGTTCCACATACACAGACAGCTTTATGAGCCCATATAGAACAGAGCGCATTTTATCCGGCCCTTTAAAAGCTTTCCTTAATGAGCAGAGCTTGCCACCGGTTTAAAGGCCCTAACTAAGGAGCTTTGAATTCATAAGGCCCGCCTGTTATTTCCTAATTGACCCACTTATTTTCTTTCTTTCTTTCTTTCTTTCTTTCTTTCTTTTTTTTTTTTTTTTCGTGGCGCGGCTGTTGACATATGCTGCCCGCTGAATGGTCGAACAGTCGGACCGCCAACGTCGTCGTGTTAAACTGTTCGAATACGCGTCCAAGAAAAGAAAAAAACAACAAAATACGGAGCTCCCTTCTCTGGAGTTTGGTTCGGTTGGGTGGCAGAGCGGCACCTCTAATGACACAGCTGTCAGATTTGTTTCCATGGAGCCTCCCAGGCTGTTAGGCCGGTGGAGGCTGCTGGTCGGTTGATAACGGGGGAACCGGTTGGGGGTTCACCATGGAGGTGAGGATTGTTTGCAGGTTGCAGTCGAATGGCTGGAAATGTAATTGCTGTTGTGTCAGCTGGTTGGTGAGCGCAGGCTGTTTTACAGCAGATTAACATTTTGCCAAAGTAGTGTGTGTATTTTTGTCTTTTTTTCCTCAGTCAGGCATGCTCCCGTTCGCCAATCTAAAACTCTGTTATTTGAACATATTAAGAACAAAAATGGATGTAAAATGCAATGATATTTAATCTCTTGCTCACTGTGTGACGTCTGTTTTTTCTGTCCAGGACTCCAAGCTGCCCATTGCATTGCGGACCAATCTCCTGGACCTGTTCGGCCAGATCGAGCGGGAGTTTGAAAATCTCTACATTGAAAACCTTGAGTGTGAGTAAAAAAAAGTAAGAGAAAGAAAAAGCCACACGGGGAGCAGTCGATGGCTGATGGTGTATCGCTGTGCTAACCCTGCAGTGCGCCGGGAGATCGATTCTCTGAACGAGCGTCTAACCGGTGATGGACAGGTGGTCGAAGGAGGAGATCCCACCAAGGGAGCCCTGAAAGCAAAAGGTTCAGTTTTTCCTCCACAGTCCCTTGCTTTTTCTTAATTCTAAAGTCTCTGGTGCCTCTCGGTGTGTTCAACAGACTTCGTTGGCAGCCAGAGGGGATTATCACACACAAATTTAGTTTAGCAGCTGGTACAGCTCAGAATATTTACAAGGGGCTGATGAAGTTTAAAAAATCTTTTGTAATTTTCTTGTTTTGTCTCTATTGAAGGATATTTGCAGGTTAAATGGATATTTCCATGATTAAAAATGTGTTAAATCACCAGAGTGGCTTTTCATATGAGATTGATACATCAGATAACAGAAGCAACAACAACAGAGAAAAAAGTGTTTGAAAATAGATAGAACCAGCAATAAAAAAATATATGCTTCTTTTTAAAGTAAAATAGTAATAATATATATATATTTTTTAATTTAATTTAATTTATTAATTAATTTATTTATTTTTTTACAATATCAAACATTTATTGAGAAATATCAGCCCCTTATGAATTCGATAGCAGCAACACACCTCAAAAAAAGTAGGAGCAAAAGTAAGTTATAACAGCATTATTAAAAAGAATCAGGTGGAGAAATATTTTGCATTTAGATGCATTTAGATTAAAGGTTAATGACATGATTTGAGATTAAAAGGGCACCTTAGGGAGGCTGAGTCTCTCAACTTGCTAAGAACTGTGTGTAGAAATTGTCAATCAGTTTTTCACTCATCCTTGTCAATGTAAAACTGGAAGATGTGCTCTGTATTTAAAAGATGATGCTAAACCACAGGCTGCACACATTTTGCGAAACTTGCTTTGTTTTTTCGTTTTGGAAAAGCAGTTTCGATTTTGAGATTTGCAAATAATTTTATTTAGTTGCCTTTTGATCTGATTTATTCTTTACATGTAGATGGGAGCAACACTTTCTTACAACTTACTTGCTTCCAGTAGGGCAGTTTAAGCATTTTCAAAATACCAACAGTTAACTGGTTAGGGTTAGGGACCCTGGACTCCAAAATCGCCTCTGGTCGTGTAGCCGTGTTGAATTGTAGTGTACTAAAAAGGTCCTGGTTTCTGCTTTTTATTCTTGAGCTGCCAACCTGTCTTTCCTTTAACTTTAGCATTTTATCGTTTCAATTCCTAGACTTTAAAGATCCGTGGTCGGTGATAACCAGAAATGTTGTTTTTTTTGTCCT